TTGTATACTATATCAATTGAGTAGGCTGAAGAAAAGGATGTAGGCTAAGAGGGGTAATGTAAAAGAAAAGAACTTGAAGCCCCTAAAGATACTATCTTGTTTTTACTGATATGATTATGCACATTACTGATTTTCAAAGGTTCTGGCGCCAATAAGAATTGGTCTATCACCAGTTCTATTCACCTCATAGATAGCTTGCATGTATAATATAGAGAAAAAGGAAGAAGAAGATTTAAAAGAAAAGACTGAGAATATCAGACTCTGAAGTAGTAAACGCTTTTGTTTATAATAGGAGATTGTTCATTATGGAGACTAATAAAATTAGAGTCTTGCTGGCCAGAGGTGGGGAAATGAAAGTTAAGTTGTCTTAAGAGCATAATCTTAGGAAATAGTTAGAACAGATGCCTAAGAGTACAGTTTGAAGTGAATGCAAATTTTTCTAAGGGTAAAATTCAGTAAGGATTTAAGTTATATACACTGCAAGTGTAAAAATTTTTTTACACTATTAGTGTATTTTAACATGTGATAGCAGGTTAGTTACCACTTTTATCAGGTTGTAAATTAATGTTTATCATAAAGCTTTACCTACAATTTTACCTTATAAGTGATATGACTGTATAAATATCTTTTATATTGTCAGTGCATAGAACTTAAGCTCTTTTATTAAATAGTTGCAAGAGATTCTTGAGAGTACAATTTGAAGTGATTACTTCTTTCAAAATATGTTATTTTTTATGTAAATTCAACAAATCAACACCATTTCGAAGAGTAAAATGAAGTGTTGATTTCTAAAGGTAGAATTTGTTACTTAAGAATTGGGAAGTGCTTGCATTTATGGTAACTAATTGCTGATCTTTGTGGTTATGTTGGATTTTTTGTTTAGTATTATTAACACCCCCACCCCAAACCCACAACATGATGGATTTACATTCAACTTTTTCAAATGCACAGGTTATTGCAATTAAGGATGTTATACGACCCCCTCAAAAGAAGAATTTCAATGATGTGTACATTGTTTATGAACTGATGGACACTGATCTTCATCAGATTATTCATTCCAACCAACAATTGACTGATGAACACTGCCGAGTAAGATACACTTCATGTCATGTACTTCAAGTTCCCATATTCATTATTCTTTTTCTCTAACCAGCTAGCTGGATTAGTATTTGAAGATGCAGTTCTGAATTTTGTACTTGTTTGGGATTTATCTGCATTCTTATACATCATAACGTGATTGGTCGCCATCTTTAATTTTGTAGCATTTTCTGTACCAAGTATTGCGAGGACTTAAGTACATTCACTCTGCCAACATCTTGCATCGTGATTTAAAACCCAGCAATTTGCTCGTGAATGCAAAATGTGACCTAAAGATTGGAGATTTTGGGCTTGCAAGGACGACAACTGAGACAGATTTCATGATGGAATATTGTGTTACACGCTGGTATCGTGCACCAGAGTTGCTACTAAATTGTTCAGAGTATACAT